CACTTACAATTTCCTAAACCCGAAATCTTCTCCGAGACTCGAACTCAGTACAGTTTTGGAGTTTGTGACCTTGGTTTCTGTAATCTCCTCTCCGAAAAGAACAAATTTGGTCTTTGCGCCATTCTTCTAACGCTTCACCTGGAATCGAACTCAGTACAGCTTCTTCCGGAGTTTCGATCCTTCCGTGTTATCTTTCAGGTTTCAAGCTGTAAGTGCGCGAAATTTGGTGCAAAACAGGTTTAATTTTCTCGAGCTATAAGCGATCAAACAAAAACAATTTGAACATCATACGACGTAAAATTATTTATGCGAGCTTCGGCTCAAAATGGTAAAAAAATAGGATGATCAACCGGATTAAGGACGTTGTCCACAAGATCCAGATAAGTCCAAGGGCAGACGTGATATATATTTGAATTTATAGTTTGTTTATCAGTGTTTTTTAATAGCTCAGACTATAATGAATTGGAAAAGATGTGGAATAAAGCGGTCGTGGCCTAATTTAAGGTACTATCCCTACAATGTAGTGATGCACCTGGACAGACTCACGTCATATCGGGGACCTTCTCGGGACAAGCAGCCTCTAGGATCACGTATACACCGTCCCCAGCGACCTCTCATAGCCAGCCAGCTCAACATGACGTCAACCAGCCGAGTTACATTCGTGGTATTTGCTTAAAGATGTTTCTACTTACGGTCTGTATTTTCAAGGTTTGATTGGTCAATGCGTCTTCATGAGAGATGACGATCGCTGTTAAACATGATCTGTGGTACACTTGGTTCTTTTGTGAATGTCGCGATGTCCTTTAACTCGGTGTATTTTACTGTTTTGTGGTGCGTGTAAGAGACTTTAGACACCCCTGACCATGTAGGGGGGCATAAAGTTCAGTAGCTGAACCACAAGTTGCCTCCGGGTCCAGTAGGAAGGCCAAAGGCTCTTCAAGTCTCTCCTAAACATCGGAGTGAAGCATGTTTGATTGTCGTCTTCTGTCAAGACGAAATCGTGAATGATTGTCTTTCCAATGGATGTAGAAGTGCATTTAATGAAATTTGCGGTCTGTGGAAGATTCTACTCAGGGTAGACTTTCTACTCGGCCCAGTTGGCTTCTCTCACTACATTACTAATTTTGTGTATACGAACGACCCTTAGTATAATATATGACATACCATACCAAAACCCACTACTCATAATCGCTGATATGAATCTATTATATAAAAAAGTCTGCTTTCAGTCACGATCAGTATTAAAATGTTGGTTACATGGTCGTCTGATTACTTAGTTCAGTCCCATCTGACATCCCATACTCCCAATAAATCCAACTTATAGTATTTTGCTAATTGTACGAGGTGCGATCGGAAAGTTTCAAGACTGTGTCAATCGAGGGCAAACCGGATGTAGTACGAGCTTCTGCCGCTAGGGGGTGCGGCCTACATTCATAGTGAATCAGTGTGCCAGCCGGCATCATCGAATTAGCATTTGTTTCTTAGTTTTGCCAAAGACTTGCCAAAACGGCTACGGAAACCTATGAAATGCTAAAGCAAGCATTTGGGGAGTCCGCAAACTTTTGTGTGGCATTCACGTTTTAAAAATGGCCGAACCTCTGTCGATGATGACGAGCGTTCTGGACGACCATCTTCGAGCACAACGCCCGAAAATGTTACGAAGATCGACGTCGTACCATCAACGACTTGTGCGGCATTGTTGGGATAGGCTATGGGACCTGTCAGCTGATTCTAAAGGAAGAACTCTACATGCGACGCATCATGACAACGCGCCAGCGCACACCGCCCTCAAAGTTCGCCAGTTTTTGGCCTCAAACACCATGGCCGTCATCCCGCACCCTCCTTATTCGTCGGATTTAGCTCCGTGTGACTTCTTCCTCTTCCGAAAGATGAAAATTCAAGGGAAGGAGATTTGAGACGATAGGAGAGATTCAGGCAGAATCGCAGATGGTGCTTGACAGGCTGGCAAAGAAAGATTTCCAGGGATGCTTCCAGGCTTGGCAGCGGCGCTGGGATCGTTGTGTTCACTCCCAGGGGAACTACTTCGAGGGTGATGGATGAATTTAATACCTGAGATAAGTGTACGGGTTTTTATACGCGCAGTCTGGAAACCTTCCGATCGCACCTCGTAAAACTAAGAAGAATGCTTTAATATGAACTCCTTGGGGCCTTATTCTATGAGAATATTTGCGTAAAATATGTAATTTATCTGCAGAGTTGAAGCAAATCACTCAAATTACTGTGTCAAATATAAACGAAAATTAGGGGAAATTATCGAAATAAATATCGATATATCAATTGAATATCGTTGAGAAGCGTTATTTCACCAATAACTACAAGTCGAAGTGCTTCAACTGGCCTTTTTGTCATGGGTCAAAAATTTTGCGAGCATTTTTGTTCTCCCGGCCCTTAAATTTTACATCGAATTTCTAACCTGGAAGACAGCTGACAGCCTTCTCTTCGTCCGAACATTTCTGCGTCAGCCACAAATAGTCGAACCACTTGATAACTTTCACCTGAAGATGGTTCGGGACTCGTCGCATCCTCATGTACGTCTTAACTCCGTCCAGCTTTGCTGCACATGGAAACAGAAAATGAGGCCATGAGACAAATGATCTGTTGTCAGCTGAAAGAGAACAGATAAATGCTTTTCTCTCAATGTCTCTAGAATTTTTGGCAGCCACCGGACGGTTATCAACGCAGACCACCATCTTATAACTAACTAGATGGTTCATCACCGAATTAACCAAAGCCCTCCACCGGAGCCTGTCCTGGGCCAACAAAATCCAGTCTCCTTCAACTCCTATCTCCCATAGATCCCGCCTGAGATTATCCTCCCATCTACGTCTAGGTCTCCCCAGCGGTCTCTTCCCCTCAGGCTTCCCAAATAGTGGACCCAACCTACCAGATGGCTTAGGGAAACCGAAGGTTCATCATCGAATTATTCAAAGCCCTCCACCGGACCCTATATTAGTCAAATGTAGGTCCGTACTTTACCGTCGTCAACTACGAACGTGACTGAGATTCCAACATAATCTATCTGATTATGTGTGTTACATTCTTAATTATAAAGTCGTGTAGTTTTGTGTGTGGTTAGCAGGGTTACGGACGAATGTATCACCTCCCCATATTAAATTCTACCCTGAAGAGGAAGGCATTAAAATCGTTCGAAACTTATTACCAGTCATGCTACAGATCTGGCGAAACAGTGTAGCTGAATAGACGAGCTCTTGAATAGTTAATCGGCACAAGGGAAATGTTTTATAATCAGGAAGGCATTGAAAAGACATCGACAAAAGGACGGAGGTCTCTGTCCGTGGCTTTGTAGTTGTAACCCACACAATGCCATCACTCATAAACTTCTGTGACGTAACTGTACTCAGAACATACGCAGAATAAAGTTAGAGGTTATGAACTTGGAGTGGGTCACGCAGTGAGGGACAGACTGGTGGGAAATGTTGACACTACTCACTGACGTCAGAGGATTGGTTGAGGGTGCCCTCATTCTCTCTTTGAGACACCACTTCAGTTATCCTGGATGTAAAAAGGCTTACATCCAGCAGCTGTTTCTATACGATTAACACTGGCTCACGTACATAACACTTAAAGATGTGTACTTCATTTGCTATTTCATGTAAACTCAAATCATACGGAGGACGTAATGTCTGCCCTTCCGCTGGAAAGTTCAGTCTCGAAGGCTAATTCTCAGCTGAAATGAAATTCGGTATTGTGTATGCTGAAAACATGTGAAATTATTCGTTTAGACTTCGTCCATTGTCTAAATTACAACGTTTCGGAACCAGGATTCTGCTTCCATCTTCAGGTTGAATACGGGGGAAGAGGATATGAAGCCAATGTGTTCCGCCCCTGGTCCTCTGAGGCTAGTTTCAACCTTTGGCAGAACAAATGGGTTTTCTGTTCCCTTACGCCCAAGACGGAAACAGAATCCATATTCAGAAACAGATCAGTTTTATAATGCTGACTATGGACCGAGTTCAAAAGAACAATTTTACGTCGTCGTGGGAAACTTTCAGATTTCGACGCTCAAAGCTGCTTAAATATAATAATTCTTGGTTTCTCTTCTTTGCCAATTTTCATACACTCAGTTCACTGACCATTCACTACAGCAACATGTTTCGGTCCAATGTGGTCATCATCAGGTTAAATTCCCTTTGACTCTGAACAAAGAAGCAAGAATTTCCTCTGAAACGTCGATTTTTTACCGGAGATCGGCTATCCCTCTTGGTTTTCCTCAGTCCCCGGGATATTTTCAATTAGTCCATGTTCACTTCATTCCAAATACATTCCAAAATTAATCTTCCTACTGAAGTAAGATTTGAGGTTCTCACAGCGATGAATACGAACATGGCCGTCTTCTGGGTTGTAGCGCCGTGTAGTCTGGTAGGAGTTTACCGACGTTTCGGTGGTCCCTGCTTCCTGCCATTGAACTCTGTATATAGTCCGGGCTACTCAGAGTGTTGTTAAATATATTACAAAATAATATACCACAAGACAGCAGTCGCTACACCTCATTGACATCTAATGAACCCAGCAGAATAGGTTCTACTTTCCGTCCTGACGACGTTATCATATTTTGCTTCCGAAATATTTCTGTATTTATGAAGAAACCATACAATGAAAAAAAGTCCAAAATATGCATCTGTTCAATAATGCACGTTCGTTAGAGACTATTACAGTTATATTAATTATTATTTCTTAATTAAATTATTTCCAATTTGTGCTTGTCTTTTCAATAGATAAGTAAATTACCGTAGGCATCTCTAATTTAAGTTTTTTTGTTCGCCATTCGTTTGTTATTTGAGGACACAGTTTCAAGAGCATTGACTGATTTAATTGGGACTTTATCACGAATGGTAGGCGGTAAATATTCCAAAGAAACACGCCAAACATCTTTGAGAGTAACTGTTTAACCAATTTACGATTTGAACCAGCTACGTCCGGAATGCAAGTCCAGGGCATTGCCTCAACACCGGCCTCACTCTGCGTTGCGTCTATAAATATGATAGGCCGGAATCAATACTCGTTGTTAAAGAGAGAGCCATGATCCGTCTTTCGTCACACAGGCCCCTGGTTCTATCCCCATTACAGTTCCTGTGACATTTTTGGTAGATGTTGTACGTGGAAAGGTTCTTTCGAGAAGCCAATCAAACAATTCAGGATATATGACTGATTCATCTCTGCTTAAAAGCATTTATATCACATTTAAGTATGATTTACTCCTTCCTTTTGGTGTTCACCGCGTTTCAAGAACTGTAGAGCCTCAGAGCAAGTGGATATCGACTAATGAATCATTGAAGATTCCTGTCTTCTGGGTTGTTTCAATAAGTTGACAGTGCCTACAAAGAGACGCTTTTAAAATGTCACAATGTTCACGGAAAAAAGAAAACCGACGATGCTACCAACTGTGAAATGTAACTAATTTATGTGAAGTATGTGACAAAACCTTTCTTTTATTTGTTTTTCTGTTGTTTTAATACTCAAAGTCCATTACGGAGGCAACGTTGTAATAATGGCAACCAGTGCTGGTAACTTAACTGCCCTAGAACCACAATGAACACGCATGCCGGGAAATCTTATCGATCCATCAAACCCATTTGTCATCATCTCATCCTTGTTAAGTTGCTCATCCTAATAATATTTAATGTCTTGCGACGGGCTGATCACTTGTCCGAGGAGTCTTGTCAAATGTCTAAGTAGATTAAGAAACCTCCCATGCGTGAGGAGAGCAAGGTCCTAATATGGACCTTTCTCGAGCCTTCTCTCACTTCATCCCTCTTAGGCCTAAATATTCAATACCGGCTGAGAGTACAAAGGATTCTGAACTGCATATTGGCAAGCGTTTTATCCTGATGTCCAGAATTTTCGGAAAGGAAACCTTGCGAAGGCTGTTCTTATAGTATAAGAGATTTAACACTCCTGGTGGCCTTTTACTGCTGTCGTAGTAATGGTCTCCCGGCTTGTCTTCTGAGTGTGTTTCAAGTCTAGCAAGGATTTGGTACAACAATTCTTGGTGGGGTCAATTAGAAGTGTCAGGCCCTAAAATGTAGTCTCTCTCACTCAAATGGAGGCACGTGTTTTACGCCAGTTTCAGCTTGGATAAATGTTTTACACGTACGACAGACGGTTGTCTAAAATACTTCTTTTGGCACTGTCTCTCTTCCTCGCTTCTGCCTCTAGTGTAAAGAGGTTTGTTACAACAACCAAGAAAGAGGAGGGAAGAATTAGGCACAGAATATAAACGCATTACGGTGTTTCACACTGATACCATTACTTTGAATAACGTGAGCTTGTAACCTAACCTAACCTAACCTAACCTAACGTAACCTAACCTAACTAACCTAACGTAACCTAACCTAACGTAACCTAACCTAACGTAACCTAAC